CTATTCAACGAAAGGAGACTGCGACCACACAAAAGGCCACACCATCTTGGTCTTCATACCTTCGATTAAATAGCTTAAACCTATCAGTCTCGTTAACTTTCCTTTAATTTCTTGATGGAGGCTTGATAAAGTATTTCATTAACTTATTCCGAATGACACTTCCTCATTAGATTAGAGAATCGGGGATCGATACCATTATGTTTGCAACAATTCAAAAAAGGCCAAATGGCAGGATTGACTTACACTTGTCTTCTTTAGCCGGCTGTAATCAGTGAATTGTTTGGCTATCTTACTTCCATAGTTTAATCGAAAATATGAAGATTGTGACCACACAAAAGGCCACACCATCTTGATCTTCATACTTTTAATTTTTGTAGTCTTGGTTTGACCTCATTTTTGCAACTTGTTCGGAATGACGGGGAGGCCTTGTGGAGTCTACCTAGTCCTGTGTCCTTTCTTGATATATTCTTATAAATGATTCTTTAGACCTCCACGAAAGAAGCAAAAATATGGCTAATATAGTTTACTTTACATTCTACTCGTCCCTTTTCCGGGTTGTCTCTTAAAGATTCTAATTATAATAGGTAGATGAAAAAATAATGCAGTTCTACGTTGTGTATATGAAAGTATCGAATTGGTCTTCCTTTGATGAGTAAAAATCACCTGATTCTTTATAGATACTTTCTTACTGATTTTGAGTCTTATGAGGGGCTCTGACAAGAGTATGGAAATAGCCTGAACATTTTCTTTCCGAAAAAGTAATTGTCTAGTCGCAAAGTTATGAAAATAACTTTAAATATTTTATTCTTCTACTTCGCTTTTAGGCGACACCTTACTGACAAGCCCAATGTTACTAAGCCTGTTAAGCCTCATATGCAAGGGAAGCGTGCTCGCCATCTTCTGTCCTCCTCCTCTCTCGATGTTACACCACCTGTTTCCTCGTCAACCCCGCTGTCCTCCAGCTTGCCCTGCCGGTCTAGCCGTATCGGTAATCCAATCGCTCTGCTTGACTCGCGCCTCTCTACTTGGCGGCCACGGCGTTTTATCATGTTTCTTCAGCCTATGGACTCACGGGCCAATTCCGATTCAACTCATGAATCTCCGGCCGTTTCAAAATCCTCCTCCACAGCGGTTACTGCTTCTACAAGCATAAACAATCGTGCTACTAATCAGGCCATTCCGTGGCAAACTGCCGCAGCTGAGCTGATTCTCCGTCTCGCCAGCGCTGAACGGGTGGGCCGCCGCAGTTGGATGCGGCCTTGGCGCTCTGCAACCAGTCAGGAGACTGTCGGCTTGCTTGAAGACACAGATCAGCCTCCCAGCGTCTCCTCTGAGGAGGTAGAAATTGAGGCCACCGGCCCACTGATGAATTGCACCACCGCCAAAATATCCTCCGGCACGGGTCTCCCTAACCCAGACAGTAGTGGAGATGACGATGATGACGACGATGGTAATGAGGATCTCAATTATGCAGCTGGCAGCTATGAAGACAATAGGCTAGTCGCTGGGCGAGACAGTGGAAACCGACCTCTTTCAGATCAATCTACTTTAGACCAGGAAATTCTGGATGATGAGACAGCCAGAGTTCTGCATCACACAAACTTGATTGAGCCCAACTGCTCCTCAGTCAGCTCTGAACCAGTTGTATTTTCTAGTGTTGTTGAGAATCAGGTAACGCTTAAGGGCAAACAACTGATGGTCGAATCTCCGGGTCAGCCGGCCCTCGAAAAGGCTTCCTTGCCCCTGACCAATGAATCAATGTTAAAAGAATCAGAAGAGGTCTCATCAATGCGACAAATAGCGAAATCGTGCTCGAATCGACTCAATGACGAAGAGGAACGCTTCGAAGAAGTCGACCTAGTTTTAGAAAGTGCAGTCGACAAAGCTGGCAGACCATTCTGCTCGCGCCTCCTTCATGATCTTAAGCCAAGGCTTCTTGCTCGGCGTGATGTTCTCGCAGCCATGGCTCATAGTTTATTGCCCTTACCAGCTTGGGTTTACCGGCAATATGATCTGGTGCGTCTACTTTGTATCCACTATAGCTTTCGCCTATCTTCTGAAATCAGCTTCAACTTTTCAAGTTTTTTCTTAATGTGGGGGATTTATTATATAGGTTAACTGGGCGAAAATGAGCTGACTATTCATACATTAATGGAAAATGATAATGAAATGATAAATACCTTGACATGTGACCATCATTATGGATTTTTACATCTTTATGAAAACTGCTGGTGGTAACTATAGGCCAAGCTTAAAGGATTTATTCTTATATTCATGGAATAACGATTGCCCACTTTAATTTAGTCATCCAATATCATGTATTGAGGAGTAGGCCTGAGTTTATTAGTGAATTCCATCTCATCTCTTGTCCCAAAAGTGCCTTCTTACCCTTTCGCGATTGCCTTAGTCTCATCATGACCTCAATAGGATTTCGATCCTATTAGTTGTGGGCTTAGAGACTGATATTTTCCCATAAGTATTCAGCCCTTACGACCTCAACAGATTGAAGTAAATATATTTTTCCGGTGAATGTAAATCTAC